GATACCTTTCTCAGCTTAGAAGCAGGACTGAGCTGCCTGTTGTCAGATGTGCAGTATGCCTTACTGATTATGAGTGGATTGTGTATCGCAGTTTTCAGATCCACATCAGGCAAATATGGTTTCTTTGATCCACACTCCAGAACAGCCAGTGGTCTTCCTTTACCACTACAGTCACGTAATCGTGGTACAGCAGTGATGCTAAAATTCACACTCCTCAGTGACATGATTAAGAGGATCCAAGATTCTTATGAAATGATGGAGATATCACCCTCTTGTACCTATGAACTGAAACCTGTTCAGCTCTACGACATGAGCACAGTCAACATGAGTGATACTATCACAGACATAGTCTGCAGACCAAGTGCCACTGCTGTGGCACCTACTCACTCTGATGAAGCAAACTCCTCTACTCCAAGGAGAAACACAACCACTGATCTTACTGAGATCTCTCAAATGTCCATTTGTACACCACTGGTAAAACAACATGAAGTCCAAATGACTCAGTTCACATCACATGAAGATCCTGAGAATGAATATACTAATATACCTACTGAAGAATCATCCAGTGACTTTAATTTTCTTCCATCGAATGATGCTTTTTCATGTCAATCAAATGCTGCAATAACAAATGTTGCTGCCTGTGATCTTTCTGATATAGTTTTACAAAAACTGAAAAAAGTTAATAAACAACAAAGGCACAAAATGAAAAGAAGATTAATGGCATCAGAGAAACCCAGAAATCAGAGAAAAGAAAACCAAAAAAGGAAAGAACGACAAAAGTATGCTTCAAACAAAGAGTACAAAGAAAAGAAAAAATCTTGCACAAGCAAGGCATATAAAAACAATCCTGAAGTTAGACAGAAACAACAACAGTATGTTAAAAGACGTTATTGTGAGAATGATGAATTCAGACAGAAACAAAAACAATATGTTAAAAGACGTTTTTCTGAGAATGCTACAGTTAGAAAGAAACAACAACAATATATTAAGAGACGCTACTGTGACAATGCTGAATTTAGACAAAAACAAAAAACCTATATCACTAAAAGGTATCGAGAAAGTCCAGAATTCAGAGAGAGACAGAGATCTCGAGTGACTCAGCGTTATGCACGTGACAACGCATTCAGAGTAAGACACAAACAACTGATGAAACAGCTAATGCGAGACAGGTATCAAAGCAATCTTGCATTCAGGATTATACACAAAATGAGATGTGCAATGAAAATAAAAAGGAAATACAGATGGGTGAACAGACAAACCCAAGAGAGTGACAACAGTGTGATCAACGAGGCCATATCTGTGTTCAAATCACA